AATGACATTTTCGCAGCGTGTATTCTATAACAACATTTATAACCTCAGTTGCAATTACAAAACAACATGAGAGGCCTCCAAACAACATCCAACCGTACTTTCATGCTCGCTTAACTACCTTCATCGAGAAGCTATTGATTTGAACATATTTTATTCCATGTTGAAATGGATTGGGCACAAGTTATGTAACTTATTACCGCCCGCTCCCATCAGAAACATGAACAATAATGAATGGACGTAATGAATGGACATGATGATAGTAAGACATATTATTGATTAATCGAAGCGCTTACTTCGTACAATGTATTTATGCACATGTCTATAGATATTTACATTTATAGTATTTGGCAGAGCAGGGTTGCCGTAAAGAATGGTATCACCGTCTAAGTGAAGTTTTGATAGTTCGAGGTCTTGCTTCAGATCAAAACGGCAACTGACAAATTTTGGGACATTTTAAAAAGAAATGGTTAGCAACTTCAACCGGAGCATCGAACAATTGTTCGAGAAGCTATGAACCCTATTTGTGGAATCGTCCAAGTAGCGGTACATTATTGAAAAATGCCTTTCAGGAGAATATCATAGCCGATTATCTCCCTTGCCTCGGGAAGGCGTAACGCGCGTGTCCGTGAATTAAAGGAACATTGATCCCGAGCGCCTCGTGTTTCGCGCCAACAATTTTATTACGTCACCCAGCTGCCAGGTGGGCAGCACCTGCTCCTCGACGGACACAGGGACTGGGCAGCTGTCTACTATGGCAGAACCTTCAACCTCAACAATGAGACGATAAGAACGGCGGCTGCTCTTCAGATAACGTTATTTGAAGATATCCCTGGTAGTTCTAGTCTGATTGTAATGAAGTATCCCAGCAGTGTAGGATTTTTAGGATTCTCTAATGCCTGGATGGTATGACGACTGATACAATTTGATTCTATTTCTGTGTTTTGTTTACCTCGATATTTAGTCATGTCATGTAACAAAGTGATGGCTGTCGACCTATTATATTAAAACACACATTTGATTTATTTGAATCAATCCCACTTTGCCATTTGTCAAAAGGTAGTGTTTATGTATGTAGATTTACAAGCGTATACTGAATACACCCTGTCGCAAACTGCCTGTGTAAAAACAGCGTCCTTCCTTCAAAGGATTAACCGACAATGCGTTGATTGGTTGCTCATTGTTGTCTAACTAAATTACTTTCACAAGGAAGTCGTCAGGTGTGCTATCTCGGGTGACCAATGAGACTACACGCCAATGTGAAAAACCTGAAACGGTCACGTGACCAGTTGAGAAACCTTCACTAGTTACTTTTTGACTTCTTTGAGTGGCGATTTTTTGTATGGATAGACAACTCCTTTATTGAAGCTGATATGATCAAACAGGATCGATTTTTATAGCCCGTGGATAGACAAAACGTTTTAGATTCAATTACTTTATACATACAATCGATGCGACGTTGCTTTACTTTCCTTTGTCGTACATGCTAAAGTCGTTATCAAGTCACGACTTATTGCCGATGTCTGGACGCGTTAACATCACTCACACCGAAAGGACGTCGCATCAATTGAAATAAAGAAGTTGTCTATCCATAATAACCGTTCCTGTTCATCACTACTTCATTTTGGGCATATTAGGCTGTAAAAAGACGCATGACATGGAACAGGTTTCTTTACCAGCTGCAAATGAATGACATATCGTTCCTTTATGTGGATATTGAAGGATACATTCCTCGAACAAGCATTATTGTTGTAACTTCAGTTTCAAGTTTAAAATGTTTGCATTTTGTTTTTATTCATTTGTTGTAACGGTTATCTCCCATTTGACAGACACCCATTTGACAGACACCCAATCGACAGACACTGAACTAGAAGGTTAATTAGGGTAACACCTACGGGTATAATGGAACAGTCCACTGTCTAGTGAGAAGAGCAGGGTGAGCCTGAAACAGGTTCGTTACTGAGAAGTTTGATTGTGGGTAAATAGAACTTTGTTGTGATTAAATGATAAATGATTTCTCTTCTCAAAATTGATTTTACTATCAATTACTATCGAATATAAAAACAGGTTTGTCACTGAGAGGTTTGATTGTGTTTATTGATAGAAAAGACCCCTCCCAATAATAGCGCATGTACCAACAGAAGTTGACTGAGAAAACGTTTTGTTGGAGAGATATAGATATGTACATATTTGAAAACATTCTGACTTGCAGTAAATGAGACACCTGCATTGCCATGTAAGATACGATTAATACCAATCAGTGTTCTAATTTCAACAATACTTTCTAAAGATTGTATCAGTTTATGCCGACTTCCGTTAGACTAGAAGGTTAAACCGAAATGTTTATGAAAATAAACTGTTTTTATATTGCAGCAATAAAAATTCAAATTACTATCTTTTCGTCCATCTTTCAAAACAAATAATATAGCTTCAGTTTGTTCCTGTGTTTTTATTTGGACTATTCCATTATAATGTGTAGGTAACAGGTAGTAGATAATCTGTTCACTGAACCGTAAGTGTTGTTTTAAGGTGTCTGCGAACTGCCTGTCTGCGTAATGGGAGGACACCGTTGTAACATCCAACAGAATCATTCCACTTCATTCTTTTTCGCCGTCAATGTCGCACTTAGGGAGTGTGTGTGAAATATGATTGACGTAGGCAATCTTTAAATGTCTAGATACAACAGTAATATAATAAATTTTCTGAAAAACGGATCGTGTACTTTTATGAAGTTCAAAAACACATACAAATATAATAATAAATTAATTAGGATTATAAGATAAAAATATATAGACGTACATCGACTACGTTTCTCTCAGTCCTAACATATTTTATCACAAACAGATGAAGTTAAACTTCAAAATGGTTTCATTTGTTATCATAATAATGAAAATGGAAATATAAATGAGTAAAAAGATTTCATCTATATTGATCAATGTCAGGATATACATATCATACTTATACTACCTCATGCGCTTGCGGGTGGCGCAGCAGAGATCGCAGTGATGACTTCTGGGATATCATCCAGGTACTCGCGGGGGGGAAAACAATAACACAAGCAACAACCCGTCCCTGGAATTTGTTCTGGATCAGTGTGGGGCGGTGGGGTAGCCTAGTGTTTTACATCGTTCGCTCGTCACACCGAAGACCCGGGTTCGATTCCCCACATGGGTACCATGTGTGAAGCCCATTTCTGGTGTCCCCCGCCGTGATATTGCTGGTATATTGCCAAAAGCGGCGTAAAACCAAACACACTCACTCACTCTGGATCAGCGTCCCTTTAACGTGTCTGGGTGAATGCCCGGATGAAGTGTTGGACCAATATGGGATGTAACTCACAATGGGAATAATGATATACATGTATACTAAACGCCAAAAGAAACGTTACCCTTCTTCTTTAATGAATTTCTTAAAATCTACTCAAGTGAATCTTTCTGCTGCTTTTTAGTGTTGGGAATTGATTAAAATCTCATAATTGATGATTGGTTCATAACCACCGATCAACCATCGAAAATAATTGGTTAGCGTCATTTATGAAATTTGTTAATGCTCAAAAAATAAGGAAAAAAACGTAGTTATTTTGTTGTTGTTTTTGCAAAATTTCACATCTTTAAAGGACGACTAGTATGTTAGGAACATAAATTTCTTGGTGTCTTTAAGATAAATACAATCATGACTTGGAACGCTTGTATTGGTCATGAAATGTAACAGACAACACCAACCTTGTGAAAAATATTGTTGATGAAAACAAGTGTTCCTGAATTGTTTGTGTTCGATTATGAGAAAACATGATCGATTGCTTGGTCGTTTAGTCACTGCGACCAATCTTCGATTATTTCAATTAATCGGACCACCACTACTGCATTTTATAGTCAAACACATGTAGGAGAAAGTCCGATATTTTCGTCGTGTTCGTTTACTTGGAAAGTCACACTCGAACGCAACATTCATGCGCAATACATGAGCTCAACTAATCTACGGAATTTTCATATAAAATGCTGAAGGGTTCTGTACATGGTTTACTTCGAATTCAGTTGTACTTGTTGGCTGTTTGCAAAGGAAGATGGATCCCAATGTAAGTTTGTTTATAACGCTAAACAACTTCGTGCGAGGAACGAGCACAGACTACTCAGAGTCGGGGAGAATACACAGATCCAACTGATGGGGCTAAAGCATAGAAAATACGACCGAAAAACTGTCACTGTCAGGGAAAACAAACCCCGCCCAGAGGTGAGGTGAGGTGAAATTGGGTTTAACGTCGCGCTGGAGAATATTTCGCTCATATGACGACGTGCATGCGTGTGTATGTGTACGTGCGGCTGCTTGTACTAGCCCAGACTGAAGCTGGTTTTATAGTGCTAGCCCACTGAGATACCATGCCGCAGTGAAGCATGAATACCCCACTCCGAGACATTATACTGACTCCGAGCCGACCAGTCCTTGTTGTACCCATTAATGCCGAGCGCCAGGCAGGGACCAACAAGTACCATATTTTAACGTCTTTTGTATGACGCGGTCGGGGATCGAACCCGCGACCTTCCGCTCTCGGGCGGACGCTCTAACCACTACACCACGGAGGCGGTCACCCTGTGTAACAAAGTATTAATATTTTCAAGACCTTTAATGATATATATTTTATAATACACGGTACATTTTAATTTGTATAAAGCCGCATATAAAATATGATTATTATGATATATTCCTGAAATTACTTAGAATACTGTTTATTTTGGTTTGTTTATTATTTTTTTATATAATGTTGGGAAAATAAGAGATTCTAATGTTTTTATGTAAAACCAGGGATAATCTACAACATTATATAGTCTCCCTGGTAAAACGCATGTAACTTCTTATTATATTTATGAATGTATTTTGGGCCAGTGGCCTATTACTGAATAAATGTCTGTCTGTCTGTCTGTCTTTATTTATCATGCACATGTTTATTCAAGGCCACAAGGGTTCGTGTCCCAGTCTGTACTTGGATCTCTCCGCTATACCAGTTAGCTGATGTATGGTTTGCTGACGTCCCCATCGGTGTGCACCCACCGACACAGACGACTCTGCAAGGCAGCCGTTTTCTCAAACCACTCTGAGGGCGGCACCTGCGACATGCCTGTATGACTCTCGTATGGATGAACAGCTCATCACCGAACGGACCGGACACACGTCATCAGCAGTCCATAGTTACAAGGTATTGTCTTTTACAATAATTCGTTAATGTCTGACAAATCAGGGAATTAACGTAAAATGCTGTATGTAATTAACATTGAAGCTTTTGGAACAAATTTTTTACATTTCTATAGATTTCGTAAACATTCATATTTCACGATTTTAGTTGAGATATTGTAAGAGTTATCAGTTCTAAGTAGGACAATATAGACTTGTAGACAAATTTCTGCTTTTCCTGTGCCACAATTAGTTGGAAACCTTATTACTAGTACCAAAATTTACAGTTAAATGAATAATAACTCCATCGTTATTTAATAACATTGTTCGAAGCACACATATGATGTCTGTTTCTGATTAAATGACATCAGTGAAATAGTATACCTCCACACAATTAAACATCACTACTGTTTCTTTCAGCGAACGTCCAAAGAAATGGCCAGAAAAGTAGATGACATCGTTCAAAGGAAAAGAACTGCGACAGCAACAACGGGCTCATCGACAACAATCCGTTGGCACAGAAGAACCGCCTCCGGAGAAGATAATATTGGAGTGAAAAAAATATAGTCCTTAAAGACGGCACCCGCACCTCCGTTCAGTTGTAATTCTTGAATCAATTAAAAACCTGAAACCTGTTTTTTGTTATATTTTCTGGAATTGTGACAAGGTGCACCCATTGACAGTTATAATCGAAAAAGTTTATTTGATTGTCCCTTCTCGTATATGATTACGAGGATTCATCGGGTGTCTTGTCGCAAATGGATTGTACCAGGTATTCTGGGTGGCTTTTTAGTCACGTGATGGAGAAGGGGAGTGTATTTCAAAGGCTGCAGGCATGTAAAACTAATCAAGACTTTTCGAACATTATCTGACTAATCTAGACAAAAGACTACTATTTGAGGTCTCAAATAGTTGAGAATATTCATGGAACTTTGTTTTAAGGAATCATATGGTCACTAAAAAATTGGTTGATTTTTCTGCTTCTACAATGATTGATATGGTGGCATCCGAGGGCGTTGGCAACAGCATTGTATGTCTACCCCATCTGCAACATCCCAATGGCTCTTTCTCTCTCTTCAGCTGTTCATCGTGGCATATTTCTCGTACTAGTGTATCATGCATTCTAGTCTCTCTTTATACCCTATAGAATCATTCTACACGTGATATTGATGCAAATACTGCTTGAATATTGCTACGCTTTGGCAAATGATATTGCTATGTGTAAACAGAAAAGGGAAAAAATGTACTTTGCAAGCAAAACTGTTAACAAAGATAATTTTCGGTGTTGCTAAACACTTTTCACAATATCAAAGACACGTTGTACTAGTTTCCACTAATGCAAATCAGCAGAAAATGTTTTAAAATACTGAAATCATAGGAATGATTCTTTTACAATTTTACACACTCTACAACAGTTGTTTCTTGTTTTAATAGTTGAAAAATGGTGACTTTAAATGGTTTATCTTTGTCTCAAAGCAGAATTTTATTTCAACCTTTCTTTTGGACATCAAAATCACTGTTATTGGTTTATTTCGACATGGTCGAAAATAGGACAATTTAACTCTTCTGAAAAAGATGCATTTCACCTAAATATGCATTTGAGAATTTTTTTTCGTGATTTGCATAAAGCTTTGTTGTTAAGCTTGTAAACTAATGCTTTCTAACGTACCTTTGATAGTTTTTAGTCTTTCATAAAGGTAGGAGGGTAACTATGCGCTTAATATAAACTTCACACCTGTCTTTATTTACGAGATAATGCGAGGCGTTGACTCTAGGGTTTCCAGTGGGATACATAGTTCCTATAATTCATCTAAATTCAGTTTGTTCATGAATAATTTCGAAATTAGTCCACATAACTATTTCTGTTTCGTTAATTACTTTATTAATACTAAGGGGCCGTTCATAATTTATGGCTTTGGTGTGTGTGTGTGTGCGTGCGTGCGTGCGTGCGTACGTGCGTGCGCGCGCGCGTGTGTGTGTGATGATGATTTTATGGATAAGCATGTACAATGTGATTGCCCCCCCTAAAATTTATGTTCATAGTAAGTGACCCCCTGCATGTCATGTACAAAGTCAATGACCCCACCCTCCCCTTTTCCATGTATAAAAAGCATATTTTTTAATATTTTTATGTACAAAATTGCTGACCTTTACATATTTTTATGTACAAAATTGTTGAACCCCCCCCACCCCAGAAACATGTGTTAAAATTGGTGACTCCTTAAAACAACATACACACCTAAATATATTAAAAAATAATAAAATAAAATATAAATACAATAACTATAAAACTAAAACTAAATTATCAACGGTCCCTAACAAAAAGTGGGTATGCATTCAAAAGTTCGTAATAGTTTATACATTTTATCTTTCACCAGTGGTATTACATATACATGGACCTCATATGGTTGTAAGAGATGACTCACTGGAATCGACGCAGGGGACCCTGACAATAATGTCAACCACTTGCTTGTCTTCTGATTGCTACAGGTGTAACATGTCAGGATGATGTGTCACTGATTACTTAAGGTGTAACATGTCCAAGATGATGTGTCACTGATTGCTACAGTTGTAACATGTCATAGATGATGTGTCACTGATTACTACAGGTGTAACATGTCAAAGATGATGTGTCACTGATTACTACTGGTGTAACATGTCAAAGTTGACATGTCACTGATTACTACTGGTGTAACATGTCAAGATGATGTGTCACTGATTACTACAGGTGTAACATGTCCAAGATGATGTGTCACTGATTACCACAGGTGTAACATGTCCAAGATGATGTGTCACTGATTACTACTGGTGTAACATGTCAAAGATGATGTGTCACTGATTACTACTGGTGTAACATGGTAAGATGATGTGTCACTGATTACTACAGGTGTTACATGTCGAAGATGATGTGTCACTGATTACTACAGGTGTAACATGTCCGAGATGATGTGTCACTGATTACTACAGGTGTAACATGTCAAAGATGATGTGTCACTGATTACTACAGGTGTAACATGTCAAGATGATGTGTCACTGATTACTACAGGTGTACCATGTCAAGATGATGTGTCACTGATTACTACAGGTGTAACATGTCAAAGCTGATGTGTCACTGATTACTACAGGTGTAACATGTCAAAGATGATGTGTCACTGATTACTACAGGTGTAACATGTCCAAGATGATGTGTCACTGATTACTACAGGTGTAACATGTCCAAGCTGATGTGTCACTGATTACTACAGGTGTAACATGTCCAAGATGATGTGTCACTGATTACTACAGGTGTAACATGTCAAGATGATGTGTCACTGATTACTACAGGTGTATCATGTCCAAGATGATGTGTCACTGATTACTACAGGTGTAACATGTCCAGGTTGATGTGTCACTGATTACTACAGGTGTAACATGTCAAAGATGATGTGTCACTGATTACTACAGGTGTAACATGTTCAAGATGATGTGTCACTGATTACTACAGGTGTAACATGTCCAAGACGATGTGTCACTGATTACTACAGGTGTAACATGTCCAAGATGATGTGTCACTGATTACTACAGGTGTAACATGTCCAAGATGATGTCACTGATTACTACAGGTGTAACATGTCCAAGATGATGTGTCACTGATTACTACAGGTGTATCATGTCCAAGATGATGTGTCACTGATTACTACAGGTGTATCATGTTCCAAGCTGATGTGTCACTGATTACTACAGGTGTAACATGTCCAAGATGATGTGTCACTGATTACTACAGGTGTAACATGTCCAAGATGATGTGTCACTGATTACTACAGGTGTAACATGTCCAAGATGATGTGTCACTGATTACTACAGGTGTATCATGTCCAAGCTGATGTGTCACTGATTACTACAGGTGTAACATGTCCAAGCTGATGTGTCACTGATTACTACAGGTGTAACATGTCCAAGATGATGTGTCACTGATTACTACAGGTGTAACATGTCCAGGCTGATGTGTCACTGATTACTACAGGTGTAACATGTTACTAAGCTGACATGTCACTGATTACTACAGGTGTAACATGTCCAAGATGATGTGTCACTGATTACTACAGGTGTAACATGTCCAAGATGATGTGTCACTGATTACTACAGGTGTATCATGTCCAAGCTGATGTGTCACTGATTACTACAGGTGTATCATGTCCAAGATGATGTGTCACTGATTACTACAGGTGTATCATGTCCAAGCTGATGTGTCACTGATTACTACAGGTGTATCATGTCCAGGCTGATGTGTCACTGATTACTACAGGTGTAACATGTCCAAGCTGATGTGTCACTGATTACTACAGGTGTAACATGTCCAAGATGATGTGTCACTGATTACTACAGGTGTAACATGTACAAGCTGACGTGTCACTGATTACTACAGGTGTAACATGTACAAGCTGACGTGTCACTGATTACTACAGGTGTAACATGTACAAGCTGACGTGTCACTGATTACTACAGGTGTAACATGTACAAGCTGACGTGTCACTGATTACTACAGGTGTAACATGTACAAGCTGATGTGTCACTGATTACTACAGGTGTATCATGTTCAAGCTGATGTGTCACTGATTACTACAGGTGTATCATGTCCAAGCTGATGTGTCACTGATTACTACAGGTGTAACATGTCCAAGATGATGTGTCACTGATTACTACAGGTGTAACATGTACAAGCTGACGTGTCACTGATTACTACAGGTGTAACATGTCAAGATGATGTGTCACTGATTACTACAGGTGTAACATGTCCAAGCTGATGTGTCACTGATTACTACAGGTGTAACATGTCCAAGCTGATGTGTCACTGATTACTACAGGTGTAACATGTCCAAGCTGATGTGTCACTGATTACTACAGGTGTAACATGTCCAAGATGATGTGTCACTGATTACTACAGGTGTAACATGTCAAGACGATGTGTCACTGATTACTACAGGTGTAACATGTCCAAGATGATGTGTCACTGATTACTACAGGTGTAACATGTCCAAGATGATGTGTCACTGATTACTACAGGTGTAACATGTCCAAGATGATGTGTCACTGATTACTACAGGTGTAACATGTCCAAGCTGATGTGTCACTGATTACTACAGGTGTAACATGTCCAAGATGATGTGTCACTGATTACTACAGGTGTAACATGTCCAAGATGATGTGTCACTGATTACTACAGGTGTAACATGTCCAAGCTGATGTGTCACTGATTACTACAGGTGTAACATGTCAAGATGATGTGTCACTGATTACTACAGGTGTAACATGTCCAAGATGATGTGTCACTGATTACTACAGGTGTAACATGTCCAAGCTGATGTGTCACTGATTACTACAGGTGTAACATGTCCAAGCTGATGTGTCACTGATTACTACAGGTGTAACATGTCCAAGCTGATGTGTCACTGATTACTACAGGTGTATCATGTCCAAGATGATGTGTCACTGATTACTACAGGTGTAACATGTCCAAGATGATGTGTCACTGATTACTACAGGTGTAACATGTCCAACATGATGTGTCACTGATTGCTACTGGTGTAACATGTCCAAGCTGACGTGTCACTGATTACTACAGGTGTAACATGTCAAGCTGATGTGTCACTGATTACTACAGGTGTAACATGTCCAAGCTGATGTGTCACTGATTACTACAGGTGTATCATGTCCAAGATGATGTGTCACTGATTACTACAGGTGTAACATGTCCAGAGATGTGTCACTGATTACTACAGGTGTATCATGTCCAAGCTGATGTGTCACTGATTACTACAGGTGTAACATGTCCTGAAGCTGTGATGTGTCACTGATTACTACAGGTGTAACATGTCCAAGATGATGTGTCACTGATTACTACAGGTGTATCATGTCCAAGCTGATGTGTCACTGATTACTACAGGTGTATCATGTCCAAGATGATGTGTCACTGATTACTACAGGTGTATCATGTCAAGATGATGTGTCACTGATTACTACAGGTGTAACATGTTCAAGATGATGTGTCACTGATTACTACAGGTGTAACATGTCCAAGCTGATGTGTCACTGATTACTACAGGTGTAACATGTCCAAGATGATGTGTCACTGATTACTACAGGTGTATCATGTTCTAGCTGATGTGTCACTGATTACTACAGGTGTATCATGTCCAAGCTGATGTGTCACTGATTACTACAGGTGTATCATGTCCAGGCTTATGTGTCACTGATTACTACAGGTGTAACATGTCCAAGATGATGTGTCACTGATTACTACAGGTGTAACATGTCCAAGATGATGTGTCACTGATTACTACAGGTGTAACATGTCCAAGATGATGTGTCACTGATTACTACAGGTGTAACATGTCCAAGATGATGTGTCACTGATTACTACAGGTGTAACATGTCAAGGCTGATGTGTCACTGATTACTACAGGTGTAACATGTCAAGATGATATGTCACTGATTACTACAGGTGTAACATGTCCAAGATGATGTGTCACTGATTACTACAGGTGTAACATGTCAAGGTTGATGTGTCACTGATTACTACAGGTGTAACATGTCCAAGATGATGTGTCACTGATTACTACAGGTGTAACATGTCAAGATGATGTGTCACTGATTACTACAGGTGTAACATGTCCAAGATGATGTGTCACTGATTACTACTGGTGTAGCATGTCCAAGATGATGTGTCACTGATTACTACAGGTGTAACATGTCAAGATGATGTGTCACTGATTACTACAGGTGTAACATGTTCAACATGATGTGTCACTGATTACTACAGGTGTAACATGTCCAAGCTGATGTGTCACTGATTACTACAGGTGTAACATGTCCAAGCTGATGTGTCACTGATTACTACAGGTGTAACATGTCCAAAGCTGATGTGTCACTGATTACTACAGGTGTAACATGTCCAAGATGATGTGTCACTGATTACTACAGGTGTAACATGTCCAAGATGATGTGTCACTGATTACTACAGGTGTAACATGTCAAAGCTGATGATGTGTCACTGATTACTACAGGTGTAACATGTTCAAGCTGATGTGTCACTGATTACTACAGGTGTAACATGTCCAGGTTGATGTGCCACTGATTACTACAGGTGTAACATGTCCAAGATGATGTGTCACTGATTACTACAGGTGTAACATGTCCAGGCTGATGTGTCACTGATTACTACAGGTGTAACATGTCCAAGATGATGTGTCACTGATTACTACAGGTGTAACATGTCCAGATGATGTGTCACTGATTACTACAGGTGTAACATAAATAATAATAATAATAATAATAATAATAATAATAATAATAATAATTGGCTTGTAGGTAGGCGGCTTAGTTTCCATCATAGATGCTCACGGTTGCAATGCATTTACATACGTTAAAAACACAAAACTGCAGGTGTGAAAAGAGTTCTATTCACATCTTGAAGAAGTCAGGTTTAACATGAGCAAGATTCTTACAGGTGAACATGTCCAAGATGATGTGTCACTGACTACTACAGGTGTAACATGTCCAAGCTGATGTGTCACTGATTACTACAGGTGTAACATGTCAAGATGATGTGTCACTGATTACTACAGGTGTAACATGTCAAGATGATGTGTCACTGACTACTACAGGTGTAACATGTCCAAGCTGACGAGTCACTGACTACTACAGGTGTAACATGTCCAAGCTGACGAGTCACTGACTACTACAGGTGTAACATGTCAAGATGATGTATCACTGATTAATAAACGTGTAACATGTCCAAGATGATGTGTCACTGATTACTACAGGTGTAACATGTCCAAGATGATGTGTCACTGATTACTACAGGTGTAACATGTCAAGATGATGTGTCACTGATTACTACAGGTGTAACATGTCCAGGTTGATGTGTCACTGATTACTACAGGTGTAACATGTCTGATGTCTCACTGATTACTGAAACATGTTCATTACTACAGGTGTAACATGTCTATATATCTCTGATGAACATAGTTCCAATATATACGTAAACTCTTTAACAAAAAGGAGAACAGAGACGTTCTGCAGAACCTGTAACCTGCACGTGCCACTTCCTGGACCTGCATGGGCACTATTTCATATACTTGTTTCCGGGTCTGTCTGTATGACAGACTACACTTCAGTGAAGCCCATGAGCATGTTTTTGGTGCTGACAAACCATCATTAGGCAAACCGAGATTCAAACTCACAATCATTTGTTTCTTTGAATGTCAAGGTGAGACTTTCCTTCTAAAATTTTGAATGCATGGGCCAATATTTAAAGAATAAAAAATTCAAATTTTGATATTAAAATTTTGAATGTTATATACAATGTTTATATAAAAATTAATGTCAAACATTTTAACATTGATTCTGTCTTAACTATTAGTACTCTCAAAACATGTCGAAGTATAAGAAAGGTCTGGGTGAAGCTGAATTTGCTATTGAGGTTATGGGTTCCATTTGGGCCAAAGGGACACAACTCTGGACAACAAAGGGATGCAACTCTTGGACACAACTCTGGTGCATAGTTCAATATTTTCAATAAAAATATTTCTGCGAATTGTTCCGTTCCATATAATGTGGCACAGTATCTATTGCCTTGCCATAAATATGTTAAACAATGTAAAGCATTGGTTGAATCTCTTACAGCTCTCCATATTGACCTCTAATTCTTCAAGGAATATCGTCGATGCTCATGATGTTGATCACTGGATTGTCTGGTCCAGACTTCGATTATTTACAGACCACCGTCATATAGCTGGAATATTGCTGAGTGCGGCATAAAACTAAACTCACTCACTCACTCACGGAATATCGCTCGACATGAAGTTCAGAATGCAATTCTTGCATACATAAAAGCGTGTGGCAACTTTGCTACTTCATGAAATTGTTAGAATCTTAGCAAACCATTAAGATGGGCAGTGTGCAATGGGCCTAGTTGCCCGAACACCTATTAAACTCTTAATGATCAATCAAACTGCACAACAGATTCCATCGCTTTAAACAAATGGGGCATGACAGCACTCACAGAAAGCAATGAGAAACAAGATGTCGATGTTTATAATGTTTTATTTACAAGACATTTGATTTGGATGGTTCTTTGTACAAAACGGTGACAGTGACAAACAAATGCTTGATCTAATGACTCCAAATAAACTCCAGCCTTCCAGAACGTTAAAACAAACTCCAGCTGATCTCACACAGACAATCACAGGATACTATGATCTCAGTTCTTTACAAATGACCACATTCTCTTATCAAATAACATGCCAAGAGAAGCTGATGTTATTCTAAGTTGAAATAAAGGCAATAACTTTTTAGACGTCAATTTTCAAATTTCAGTACAATACATGATCAGATCAGTTGTTCAAGCAGCATGTGATGCAGTCACACTTTATTTCATGGTGTATGGATTGTTTGGCTTTTTTTGTTGTTGGAGGGTTGGGGTCCGATATTGAAAAACCAACTGTGTTGCTCACATAGTTTCATATCAAATATTCTAAATACTGATATTGATTTAACCATTAGTATTTGCTCTTCTAAAAACATGTCCAAGGGCTAATGCAATCGGAAGGCGGTGTGTTGCAACATTAATGAGGATTGCAATGGTCTGACTCTGCATACAATGTATTTGATCAATTCACTCCCCTCAAAAACTTTGTTTCCTGAATTTTGTATGATTTTTGCCCAATCTTCTCATTTTTATTTCTAATCAAAGATGTTATTGTCACACAGACTGTTTTTTTTTTCACTGGTTGGTTGAATCCATAGACCACAAAATAAAAGTGTTGCCTTGGATACAAGGGTAATAGAGTCACAGCACCTTCTGAAAACCCCTCTGACAGGTAACTAATGAGTTTCCAGTAATGTTTTATAACATTTTAACAAAGTTGGAAAATGTACAACCCAGCACATCAAAAGAAAAGTCAAAGGAATATTATTTATACATGTAATTAAATACATCAAGAACATTTGGATTTACAACAGTACCACACTTAAGAAATAATACCACTTTTGATTCAAAAGGTAGAATACGGTTTTCCAAAGTTAACAGGGGCAAAACACATATTTTCCATCAGAAAGTTAAAAGTGTCAAAATATTTGATATGCATTACTCAGTTTCATGCTTCACTGTTATTAAGTTTGTGTCAAAACAAATATCTTTCTCCTCTCAAAACAACGACATTCCTAAGGAGTTATCTCCCTTGAGAAAAAAGGGAGGCAACTGATATCAAAATTTCCAAGAGTTAATGACAATTCTCCTGATTCTAACATGTACAATTCTGACATTTTATTTTTTAATCACATTAATTAATATTAAAGATCTGTTACACTACCTAAGATTTTCAAAAATCTCCTAATTTTCAGACTGATGGAAAATGTTATTTCACCGCCTTTTCAAAAAATCAACAATCACATCCCTATTATGACATCACAGGCATTGACGTTGGCTTCTTTTCAGAAAAGAAGCTACGAAGAACGGCCACCTGCCCAACCCCTATAAGGAGAATAATGACGGCCTGGCCCATTGACCAGTAGGAGACCCGTTCATTCAGAGATTCGGCGTACAGACGTCCTGTGGCTTCACGCAGCTTGAAGTGGTTCTGTTCGTTTCTGACATATTTGAGAGACTCGTGGACAGAGTAAGCTGATGATTCCATCTAGAATGAGAGAGTCCTTGAATTTAGTCACAGTTAATTCAGACCACCACCAAATCGTGTATTCCGTAACAATGGAATCTTGACATCTCAGTTTTAATCTCATTGTCAAATTATTCAATTCTGTGGCTTCATTATCTCTGACGACTCCTTTGATATTTTAAAGGTTTTCCACGACAGCTACAGGATCACTTGATAAACGGTCACTATAAGTGGACCCGAGAAAGTGGACCCCTTGGTTGACAAGGGCAGATAACTTTCACTAGCAGTACACATGGCAGTGGTAAGCAGATGAAAACAGAACTGCCTCCGTCAATGCTGCTTGTAATCACTGACTTCTACTGTCAATAAGCAGTGAAGATCGGCTTAATGGTAACTGCAGATTTCTTCTTGATTAATCAGGTGAATGTCATCAATATATATTTTATAAGAAGGTACTTGATTCCGAGTTATGACAAATGAACACTTGAGTCCATTTTTTCTATAGTCTGATTGCAGTGAAAACGTACCGATGAATTTCACTTTATACATAAAAGTAAATCCCTTGTAATACAAACCAATAATAACGATTTGAATCTATGATCGTTTGTTAAACAACTTTTTATCGTAAGTTGAGTAAAATTCTGAGATTTAAATGTATAATTGGCAAGATAATATTATAACGATTCGCAATCTTAATTTCACTTTATTTGATTAACTTTTTGGTTTAAAGTGATATTCATCGGTACGTTTTCACTGCAAACAGACTATAGGACTGAACAAAATAATGCCCTAGGTTCTGTTTACTATTACACGACATCACTAAACTCCCAGCCTTTGAAATTCACGCTAGTCCACTGGCCCGAGACTACTAATTTGTGCTGATGGCAAGTGAAAAATCACTAATACTCATGACATGAAAGCATCAGCTGGCTTTAACTCGCAACCTGTTCTCAATGCTTCACTTATAACTATATGCTGGAACAGAACTGAAAAACTAAAACTGACAGAAAATGTAAATATTTTAAATATGTTTATCTTGTCTGTTTAAATAACATGTTGATGGACTTGTTCATTTGATGTACTTCTGTACAATCAGCAAAAACAGAAACGCTAACATTGTTAAGAGAATGAGTACATGAACTTTGGAAAAAAACACAAATAAATTATTCAACAAAATGTTTATAACCTTCTAAATACTTTGTACAAAATGAAGCAAAAAAATAGTTTCACAACTAATGAAGATTTCCCACATGAGACAACTGCATCAGAAACAATGTTCAAAGTTTAGGAATGTGAATTGAGTTTAGTTGATACTTTGGAAGGGAGGTCTGTTCATTTAGATTAATCGACTCAACAAGGGAGGCGTGTTCATTTAGATCAGTCCACTCTTGTTGAGGGTCTGTTCATTTAGATTAATCGACTCAACAAGGGAGGCGTGTTCATTTAGATCAGTCCACTCTTGTTGAGGGTCTGTTCATTTAGATTAATCGACTCAACGAGGAAGGCGTGTTCATTTAGATCAGTCCACTCTTGTTGAGGGTCTGTTCATTTAGATTAATCGACTCAACGAGGGAGGCGTGTTCATTTAGATCAGTCCACTCTTGTTGAGGGTCTGTTCATTTAACAGGTGAGGTGAAATTGGGTTTAGACGGGGGTCTGTTCATTTAGATCAGTACACTCAGAGAGGGTTTTTTTTCATTTAGATAAGTCAGTGAGATTGAAGACAAGCAAACACATTTGAGGCTGCAGTTAACTAAAGCACTGCCTGAATTTTGACAAACCTAACATCAACAAACATTGTTCTAATGCAGTTGAATAAAGCACATAACTATAAATCGGCCAAATATGATTAGTTGTGAATATTCGAAAGCATTTGCATTGAACTACAGGTAATGTTTCTTGACTATGGAATCCTTATATACCTCATTTTCAACCGTTCTCAAACAAATAACTGTTTTAGTGAAGAGTTCAGACAAAGATTACATATTACCCTACACTCTGACCACACAATCTCCATTCTAGAGTGCACACCTATATACAGTGTTGATGTATCCATGGCAACTCACTTGTTACCGGGGCAACTTCACTAAATCAATAAAAACATACCCATTTTAACATAAACACCACACTCACAATACAGGATAGAGAATGAAGCCTGAGTGAGTGAGGGAGGTTCTGTTGTGTAATATTTTATCAACATCACTACCGGGGACTCCAGAAATAGGCCTCACACAGTATACTCATATGGGAATCGAACCCAGGCCTTCAGCGTGATGAGAACACTTCAACCACAAGGCTACCCTTCTGCCTGTTTTTACCTAAATGAATGCTTGGCATGGTCACAACTAGTGGTGTTCCGATGATCGAAAAAAATAATAATCGAAAATCGAGCGAAAGAGGGATTAAAAATGATTATTGATTGTAAAAAAATATTTTTGATTAATCAGAATTTTGTTGTTTTTGTGTAACACCCTTGAATTATGTATGCTAACCATTTAATTTGATGAATATTCACGAACAAACATGCGCTCAACAGCGTAACGGTATGCGCATTGTAAAATTGTAACCACTTTAATTGTTTAATTACAATTCCAGTGTCTTACTTGCATGCGTGCATTTTATTGCATGGCAGTATTAGTTATAAAAAAACGTTAATTAGAAAACACCTGGAGAAAAACCCTTAAAATTGGTGATTACATTAAAAATGTATATATTTCGATTATAGTCGATAATCGTTCACCACAATCCTCCGATAATCGATAGTGGATTTGGTTTCCGATTCCCAACACTAGTAACAAATAGTACTACCTTTAAATGTCTTAGGTGTAACAGTGAACTAAACACCGACCACTGATGGGAATATTATTACAAAACCTGCCATCATTTTGAAAACACAGTAAGGTACTCTCTTAAACAATGGATAGTGATGTTTCAAATACCAAATTTTAGAAGGATCAATTTTTTATAATAGTCCTTTTTATTTGAAAAACTTGTGGGATTATCTCCCCATCAGTAACCTTGACATTCTGACCTTGAACCTAGGTTATACCATATATCTGCGACACTGTAATTTAGGTTGATATTTCATGAATCTGGAAGGGATGGTCTGCTGATCTCCATTACACTTCACCCCAGGTTTGCAATCGTTGTAGTTGCCGCCATCACAATGAGTTGTCACAGAGGGAATGAATGAAACAATCTGACCAAAATACACAGGCAGTACCTCGTACAAGGTGTCAGCTCACCCTCACATAGGTGTGCGTGTGTGCGTGTGTGTTTGTGTGCATGCACATGCGTGCTTACATGTGATTGTGCCTGTGAGACCTGGTACATCACACCTCTAGTGTGTGTGTGTCACTGTGTGTGTGTGTCACTGTGTGTGTGTGTGTGCATGCGTGCATCCATTGGTGTGTTTGTGCATGCATCTGAGCATGTGTCTGCTGGTGTGTGTGTGTGTGTGCGCGCTCGCGTGCATGCGTGACCGCGTGTCTGCTGGTGTGTGTGTGTCTGTGTCAGTCTGTTTTTCTGAACATGTGTTCACTGTTTAGTGAAACACAGAAACAAGTTGACTACACAAGAACAGAGCGTGTATGAAACCTGGGACTGAGGCCGCCAGGCAACAAGGGGACACAACTCTGCACTGCAAAGTGTACTGACTTACATCAACCTGTTACTGCTGCCCAAATAAGTCTGTAACCTTGGAAACAATCTCTACAACAGTGACATGCACAGACCACAGCAGTGATTCAAGACTTCACACAAAAAGTAACAAATGTTTTAAACCAAACAAAAGACTTTGAAATCTTCATATAACTAAGATCCAAGTTTAACGTATAAACCACTGAAAGAAAAATGTTTTTTTCCGATTGGAACATCTTGTATTTTGTGAAACAGTACATGTGTACATCAGGGGATAATAAATAGCAGTAGAATGTTCTTAAAAAGTCTGATTAAGACGATCCAAAAGTGATATGGTAACCATGGCAACACCACCATCGTATATTTCAATCAGATTGTGAAAGATGAGCTATGAAAATAGGTGAACATCCTAAGATCCATTGACTATTATGTGGCAGTTGTTCCCCTGTGTTTGTCTGTAAAGAAACTCCGGAGAACAAGGATTTGTCCAATTCCGATTATAACCACAACAACGGACTCTCCGATCGACCAAAACATGACCCTTTCATTCAGGTCCTCGGCGAAAGCACGGCCTTGGCTCTCTGGCAGACGGAAATGAGTTTGATAATCATCAATCGTTTTCAAGTCTTCGTGGATATTTACGGCCGAAGATTCCATCTAGAAAGGAAAAGAACGAAAGAATTGTAACGACTATCACGGCCAGATTCCAGGATTGCTCTGGTATCTGGTGTGAGAAACAGTAATACAAGCAGAACATTAAATAACAGCAACAGCAACCACCAAATAACTCAGCAACCTCTCCCTCTAAGGCAAGCACACCTACAACCACTCAAACACAGATGTAATGAACATTTGGCATCCTTGCTTATCCAGCATATCATGTCTGCTCGAATAACTGAGTGAGTGAGTTTAGTTTTATGCCGTTTTAGCAATATTCTAGCAATATCATGGCGGGGGACACCAGAAATTGGTTTCGCACATTATTACTATGTGGGGAATCAAACCCAGGTCTTGGCTTGACGAGTAAACGCTTTAACCACTAGGCTAACCCATCACCCTTACACAGTGGATAAGGGGCGGTGGGGTAGTATGGTGGATAAAACATTTGCTCGTAACGCTGAAGACTAAGGTTCGATTCCATACATGGGTACAATGTGTGAAGCCCATTTCTGGTGTTCCCCGTCGTGATATTGCTGGAATATTGCTAAAAGTGGCGTAAAACTAAACTCACTCACTCACTACAGAGTGGATAAGCAAAGATGGTGACATGCTTGGGATTGTCCGAATAATAGTGACAAATGGTTTGTCTTTGCCGGTCCTCATCCCTCATTGAACACTCGTGCGAACACTATATTCCTCCATCAATCAAAAAGCCATACTTCTGTTTACTGTGTATAGGTTTCAACTATGTAATGAAAGGATATATTGGCACATAATACTGTGCAATGTAAATTAAGCAGTTAGCATACTTTGTTGTTTAAAGCCGCACCCAGCACTGGGCCAGCAGTAATCCAGCTTTATAACAAATATCTGTAAATAATCGAGTCTGGACCAGACAATCCAGTGATCAACAGCATGAACATCAATCTACACAATTGGGATGATGACGTGTCAACCGAGCCAGCGAGCCTGACCACCCGATCCCGTTAGTCGCCTCTTACGACAAGCATGGGTTACTGAAGATCAATTCTAACCAGGACCTTCACGGGTCACCACCCAAAATGGACTTCACACATTGTACCCATGTGGGGAATCGAAACCAGGACTGTGCAATTCAAGCTGTGCACTTGTTGGCCCATTACCAATGTGCCATGAAAATGAGCACTCACTGATCTGAGATTCACTGGTTCCTCTTGTTTTGTGGTGTAGTGATATTTTTTACCAATCGATAATACCACAACCTGGTTGCAGTTAGAGGGCAACCTCACATGGTCTGACTGACTGAGTTTTTTTTTACGCCGCTTTTAGCAATATTCCAGCAACATCACGGCGGGGAACACCAGAAATGGGCTTCACACATTGTACCCATGTGGGGAATCGAACCCGGTTCCTCGGCTTGACGAGCGCCCCTATATATTCAGTCTGACTGACTGAGTTTGGTTTTACGCCACTTTCAGCAATATTCCAGCAACATCACAGCGGGGACACCAGAAATGGGCTTCACACATTGTACCCATGTGGGGATTCAAACCCGGGTCTTTGGCGTGATGAGCCAACGCTTTAACCACTAGGCTACCCCACCGCCCTGCACATGGTCTGAGCAATGACTGCTCAGATAATAATACCACAAACATCAACATGTCTCGTGCACCAGATCTTCTCTATACCCAGCTTCCTTAACAGGCAATAATAGGGATTGAACAAACCTTCTGAGCAGAGCTCATTTCATTTCCATTACTTAACCTAAATAGGTATGATTAGGCTACTCTGCGATTATCATGCACCAGGGCGTTGCAGACATCTATCTACACACAGCTTCAGTACCCCCATTTGGAGTGAGTGAGTATGGTTTTAAGCCGCTTTTAGCAATATTCCAGCAATATCACGGCGGGGACACCAGAAATGGGCTTCACACATTCTACCCATGTGGGGAATCGAACCCGGGTCTTCGGCGTGACAAGCGAATGCTTTAATCACTGAGCTACCCCACAGCCCCACCTGGCAATGGAAGGGTTGGTACAAGCACCGGAGCAGAGCTCATTAGATTTATGAGACTTTCATTATTTCCCTAAAATAGACACAGGTAGCTACTAAATAACTATGCAAGTATTCTGTATTGGCAGTGATGGAGGAACAAGGTGTGGACAAGCAGTAGTGAGGATGGGTCCAAGACGAAGTTCACAAC